CCCATGGGACACTCTGTGAGGCTGTGCCCAGCTCTCAGGCCCTGGGACAGCCCTGCACACCCCTGTGCTCTCATCCAGGCCGCTGAGGAGGCTGGAGGAGAGGAGCCCTCGGGGGGCTGGGATGAGCCCCTCCTGCCCAGGATGGCAGCGCCATCGGCCAGGGACTGGATGGGTGCTGGGGTGACGCCAGCGAGGGTCCCCGCTGCTGTTCCATGCCCCGAGCGTGGGCACACGGTGGTGGCAGTCTGCGTGTGCCCGTGTGTCCCTGTCACCCAGGCCAGGCGCCGGTCCGGCCCCGTCTCCCACTGACCCCCGCGCTGGCCTGATTGGATCTTCCCTCTGCACCAGCCGCATTTATTTTTGTGCTGTTGCTGCTGCCGGCTGTCCTCTGCTGTCCCCTCCCCTGCTGTCCCCTCCCTGGGCTCCCCCCGGGTTCACCGCTCTCCCTGCAAAGGCTCAGAGAACCCCAGACCCCCGACTCAGCACACGGAGCCCCCCGGGGCTGCACCCGCGGCTCCTCCAGCCGCCCTTTTCCAGTACCGGATTTTTATTTTTTTATTTTTTTTTTTTTCCCCCTCCCTTTCTTTTTATCTCAAATGGATTTCATCCCATTTGCCCAGAATTAAGCTCCCGCAGATTTTAATTTGCTGACATTTTTTTTTTTCATCTGCTCGGTTGTGGATAGCGGGGATAATGCACGTGCTGTGCCGGGTCCTCCCCGCTCCCATCCCCTGCCCATATGGCCGATGTGTGTAGGCAAAGTGCACAGTTGTGCTTCTGCCCGAGGATGCTGAGAGCCGGCTGCCAGCGGGGAAGATGAGCTGTCTCGGGTGAGTAACGAACGCGCCTTTCCCGGGACTGGGGGAAATGGGTTTAAATCAGGTTAATTCTGGAACGTGGCAGCCCCTGGCACCGCGAAAACGAGGTGTGCTGGAAGTTAATTAACTCTTAGCATCCGTGTTGCCTCGGAGCCGCTCCGCTCGCCGACTCCGCCAGGAGGGGAGGCTCTAATTTGGGTTTTTCCATCAGCCTGGACAGCGGAGCGCGGCTCCGGCCCGGGACACCGGGCTCTGTCCCCTCTGACCCCGCGCCGGGGCTGGGATGGGTTATTTAGGGCCGGGGTCACTGCTGCTGCTGCTGCTCTGATTTCTGAGCTGGTTTCAAGGCAGGGCAGAGCCGGAGTGCTGCCACCGGCGCTCCCAGTCCATCCCCGGGCTCTGCGGGCAGGAGCCACCCTGGGGACACGGGGGATCCTCCTCGGTGTCACCCCGGGCTGTGGCACTGGCTCAGCCCCACGTCCCGGGGCTCTCCCGGTGGTGCCAGGGATGCAGCAGCCCCCGGCAGCAGCGCTCAGGTTAAAAACATCTGGTTTTATTCCGGGGGGAATCTCCGCTCCATCCCTGCCCCGCAGCTGCTGGGAATGACAACTGGCTCTGGTGGTGACACAGCCACCGTCCTGGGGACCTGCTAACCCCGGGGGGAACCCGGGCTCCGTCCCGAGTGTGGGATGCTGGCTTGGGTCTCCTGTGAGTCGTGCTGTGCTTCAGGGCTGGGCCAGGACACTTTGGGGCAGTTTGTTCTTCGCTGTTTTGTCCCCGCTCCGTTTGCTCCCGGGAAAAGCCGAGAGTGGCTGGGCTGGACTGGGCTGAACTGGGCTGGGCT